TTATGTTAAACTCCATTTGGCTCCATTTTGTATGTTGGTCTTGACATTAGGATGTTAAATATTCTAGAACTATTCCAAGTCTTGTCTATTCACTCCTTGGGCTATATGCTTAGGAGTCATTCTATGCTCCTCCAAGCCTTGGGCTACTAAATAAAGGGACAAAGCCAAATTCTTAAGTATGGAGCCAAAGAGTGAAGAAGTTTTGCTCTACTGCTCTTGGACATGTGGTATATGGAGGGTTTAGGTTCTGCTTTATGGTTATCTTATGGTAAATCACCATAGAATAAAAATTGAAAACCATATGCACTACATTTGATATCAAAGGATCAAAATATTGATAAAAGAACTTTAAAAAACAAGGCTTTGAGAGAATGAAAGCTGTAGAAGAAACCTTTCCATCCTTCTATATAGGTTTTGGAGTTCTTTATCTCTCTTTATGCTACTTATAAAAATCCACAGTGAAACATAAATTAAAATTTAAGGAGAGCAAAATATCAATAATGTATAAAATGAAAATAAATACTACAACATATCTAACATGCGTAAGTGTGACAATTGTAATATTACTATCATTTGTTATGATGTTTAATGCATACATGTATATAGATCTAAGGAAGAGTTTTCAACATATAGTGATGATGTCAATAATAACATTTTGCTATGGCATGTAGATCCAAGATATCTGATCCAATTATCAACATATATGAAGTGTCATTAGTTTATCAAATCTTACATGCTAGGTGATGTCAGTAATGATAATTCTTAAATAACATATATTCAATTCTTAGTATGAGTCAAGTTTTATCCATAAGTGCGAACACTAATTAATGACATTTAGAAAACATACCTATAGTTTAGGTTCTTACACAAGACAAAATAAATTTATGAATAAGGATTCATCCATTCATAAATTAATATAGTACAACATAATGTGCCTTATTTATACTCTTTAAATTTCCTATAAAAAATCCAAAATATATACAAAATATTGATGAGAAGGCACCTTTTCTATAAAATTAGTTTAATGAATAAACTAAGATCTATGATATAGTGATGTGGTGATAATGAAACAAACAGCAAAGATTTAAATTATTGGAATGAGTGGCCAAGATGAGAGATTGGTTAGGGTTAGGGTAGCTACCAAGATTAGTTTTAGGGTATTGTTGGTGCCATGAGTTGAGCACAAGTTAAGTGCACGAGTGATTGAATGAGTGAGAGATTGAGAGCATGAGTGATTAAACATACAAGAGATTGAGAGACTGAGACAAGAGGGGATGGTCCAAAGTTGAGTTGAGCTCAATTTAACACAAGTCAACTCAAGTCAACACAGTCAACTAGAAGTATTACAAAGGAAATCTAAATTGAACAAATGAAGGTTCTAGCAAACTTTAAAATATTTAAATATGTAAATATTTGAGTTAAAAGTTTCTATAAGATTGAATTGTTTAAAGAAGACAAAGTTCATGAGAACCTATCTTTTATAAAGCTATATTATTTTATTATGACTATTGTTACAGCTGTCATATTTTGATTTGACTACTTAATATTTTGAATATTTTTACAGCTGTATATTTCTTCATTCAAAAGATTTTTTAGGGTTCGTAAGAAGATGGGAAGCAAGGAAAATACAAGATCTGTGAGTAAAAGTTGTAATGCAAAAAAATGTGAGAATGCTAATTTTATTTCACTACCATAATTTCCATATTACACTTCTAATCCTTATTACCCATCTAGGAATGTGGAGATCACTATCACGATTGATAAAAATGCTCATGTTACTTCTGAAACAACAGTCCAAAACAAGAAAAATAAAGAAATGAACAGTACAGTAGAAAACACCAAGAAATCTACTCCATAAAACTTTCTATGATATTTGTAATTAAAGTGCACACCTTAAACGAGGATAATACTGTAATAGTAAATTTAAACCATTTAAGAAAGTACTATAAAGATATAAACATAAATATTATCTATATTTTAGAGTATAAAACTATGGATAAGCATGTGGATGAAGCCCTTCCAAGGATTCATTATGATAAACTACCTAAGTGCATAGATAACATGGCCAATTGAATGAAGGATAAAGGTCTAAAAAAATTCTACAAAACTACATCAAACTTTGTAAGACCATAGGAAGGTAAATTAATTTTTCAATTATGGGATCTTGTAAAATTAACTTTCAAAATGGATGGAAGGGATATTAAAATCACTTAGGATCTTATTTCCAAACTTTTCTATCTCTCTATAGAGCTAAATCAGTGGAATTGGATAGAAGAAGTAGTCTTTTCTGATAAGCTTAAACAAGGATCTACTTATCTAGAATAAAGGGAAAATACATATCCCTTAGGAAAGATTTATCTTTATGTTATCTAAGTGTTTTCTTTGATGGGGAAGTTCCAAGAAAAGAAATCAAGGGATATATTAGATAAATATTTCTTTTTTTGGAGCAAGCTTTCTCTCAAAATCTTGTTGGTATGGTCTATAGAAATTTTCTCCAGGCAATGTAAAACTTAGAAGAAAAGAAAAGAAAGAGTAAATACTTTAAGAGTAATGTCTATATTTTAATTTCCCCATTCTATAAACTTTATCAGCAAACCACAAGGATTAATGAGTAGAGATTACTAGGCTAATAAGGAAAAAAAAATTCCACAATACATTTGCATACAAAAGCAAACTAGATGTAAGCTCCTGAATTTGGACTTCCCAGGAAGTCACCCAGCCCAGTATTATTCAAACCCAAAGACACTTAACCTCAAATATCCCAAGACCCTTAACCAATTGGAGGAGCAGGTGCACTTTTGTTTATGGGCCCTTTCCCTTTATATTTGAACCCCATGGATCGTTTCTTGAATTGGTCCCTTTGGTTGCTTACACTAGAGCAGGATTTGGAGAATCCGACTACCTAAGGATAGATAGCATAGGTAGAAAAAGCATTACTTACATGTACTTACATATTTAATATTTTAAGTTCATTAGAACCTTCATTTGTTCAATTTAAATTTCCTTTATAAAACTTTTGATTAACCGTATTGACTTGTATTGACTTTTGTTAAGTTGAGCTCAACTCAACTTTGGACCACCCTCAAGAAGACTAGACAAAACATGTAAAAGCATTTTGATCTACTAACATATATAGATGGTAAGGATAAAGTTTTTAAATATCAAGCCACCAAAATTGTTATTAAACAAATTCCAATATCTTACAAGATGTTATGATATGCTTGGACAATATGCAATTACATTTTGCCATCAAATATATACAGCTGAGCATAAATTTGTCCCAAAATTAAAGAAATTAATAATCACTATGTTGGGTTGGAGAAACACAACAAAAAAAAATTAATTGTCAAGTTTTCTAAAAAAATGGATTAGTGGCCTAAACTGCTTCAATCTATGACTTAAGGGAGTGATCAAGTTTATATTAGCTCTACTCTTGCCTAAAACTTGAAAAGAGCAATTGGTCTTAATGAATAATAATATAGAAAGTCATGGAGAAGAAATGGAGCTAAGATGAAAAAAGTAGATGACTCATTTAGTTTAATTAAACTAAATATTCTTGTTTTCCAAAACCACAAATGTTGTATCCATTGTACAAGTTTGAGGATGAGCATGGAGACAAAAATGAAATGGTCTACATCTCCATAATACATATAAAGGTGGTTTTTGATTCAACATTATCATTTAACATTGATAAAATGCCATTGACATATAGCTCTATTCTCCATTAGAATTGTGTTTTGCTTATGTGTTAGTTACTCCAAGACTGGGATTGTTAGACAAGGAACAAAAGTTTAATGATGACGCTCCAATTGTTATTCTTGCAATGCTAAGGAGAAAATATTCTTTAAGGGTTGTATTGTCCTATAAAATATCAGTGGTAACCATTAAAACTTTGATGCAAAGGCAAATATAGATTTTGGAGCCTTGGCACAATTGCTAGAATTTATTAATGGTGGTGCACTCTTGATTAATATTGTTAAATATGTTGGTGATGTATTGAATAAAGAGATTGAAATCCTAAAGAACAAAATCACTTTTTTCAAAAAAGGTGAAAAACCAAGAAATAGTAAAAAAAGATTTGATTAAGACTATATAATAAGTCAAAGTAGAGTAGTGGCTATACTATATATTGATTCAAATATTGATTTAATTTGGTTGAGGAAAAATTTTGCTTACATACAAATTTTTAGCTTTGAATCTTGATACTCTACAAAAGTTATATCAAGCATTGAAATAATTTAATACAACACTTCACTTGCAGCTCTACCAAATTATTCAACACCAATAATGGCTTTCTAGTTTGACGAAAAGGATATGAAAAAACCATTAATATCAAAGTGGTGGGAGACAATGAAACTACTAATAAACTATTAAAATAGATAAAAAATAAATGATAAATTTTTGTTGAACACTATTTCCAAAACTTTACTTTTATAAAGGCTTTGGAAATCACTAGTCCACCCATCTAATCCAAAATTTTAATTAAGTTATGGCTTTATGTTAATCCTAAATGCCTATCCAATGTGCATTGAATTTAAATCCGATGAGTGAAGGTTTGGGATTTGATTTTTGCTATGGCTAATATAATAAATATGCTCTTCAATAAATATAGAGAGATGGCAAATATATAATATGTAAAAACAAAATGTATTGAAAATAATTATAAGATCTAGAAAAAATAAAAATACTAATAAAAAAGAGTTAGCCACTGCAAGGAAACGCCTAACAATGGATAGGCCAAATTCAATAGAGTTGAACTAAGATTATACCATTGGAATTTATTTTTTTCTATTTACTTGATGATGTTGTATCATTATCAAGTGTAATTTTTAGTCATGCTATAAGGCATAATTTTATTCGTGTTATTTTGCTCTTACTTTTTTAGTAATGATGTAGTTAATCTGTTTATGAGCTCAGATTGGGTAATAATTTTAAATAATGAACCTGCCCTTTATTTTTAGATATTTTAAATTACTGAAACAGCTGAATTACACTTAAAATACTGTGAAAACCATTAGAATTAAGGAGGAGATTCCATTTTCTGTACAAAATGAAGTTACAACAAAAACTCTCTAAGATATTTAACTCGAGTTGGATGCTTCAACTTCATCATTCCCCGAATCTCATACTTTCGAACCATCTCCCTTGAAAGGTTGAGGTTACGTCCAATCTCAGTGAACGATCTCTCGCCCTTTCCATCCAGTCCATAGCGCTGGCGAATTATCAAGCTCTCCTTTGGTTTCAAAGAATCTAGCTGCAAGAAAGAATGTTAGAGAAGAACAGAGGTGTAAGAGAAACATACTACATCGTCCATTCCAAGGCGAAGTTGAGCTCCCGCGTTATAATACTGTGCCTCGTTCTCGTCTGGATCGCTGATGCTGTGGATCAGCTCCTCTCCTGTAACTTTGGAGCGCGCATTTAGCGATCTCCTGGGAGCACCCGTCCTCAGGACTTCAAAGTATCTCCTCGAGTCCATCTTAAGTTCCGTGATCACCTCCTCGTGCGTTGGTTCCCTGTCGAGCTCGAGAGACAGCTGAGCTCGCTTTCTCTGGATAGTCATCTTTTGCTGCCGGACAAAACAACGAGTCCCTCGTCACCTCACGGAGCTCTAGAGAAAGAAGAAAGCTAAAAGGCTTACCGCAGCAACGTTGTATGGTACTCTAACGATGTGTCCCAGCCTTGTTTGTGCTCGGAGAATGCTGTTTTTAACCCAGTATACTGCGTAAGTCGAGAAGCGATAGCCTTTCTTTGGATCAAACTTATCGACTGCGCTCATGAGGCCCGGGACACCCTCTTGGCATAAGTCGAGCAAAGATAAGCTGAGCTCCTCTTTGAAGTACTTACGAGCCTGATGAGCTACTAGCCGGAGGTTGTGCTGCAAAACAAGCAGTGCTGGCTGAGATCATGATATCCTGGCTTGGAAACTAGTAACAGGATATCGAGATTATGTGTGAACCTTGATCATCTTGTTCCTTGCGGCCTGACCCGACTGTAACAGCCGCCGAAGCGTCTGTACACTCATCTCTGCCACCTTGGCCCATTCTTCCTCGGAAGGCTCTCTCTTTAAATGCTCGAAAAACTTTAGTCTTACTTGCTGGAGCCTCTGCATAGAAAACAGGTTTTAGAAGAAAAACATAGAGAAGTAGAGCATATGTACCTTTGCCGGGGCCATGAACCACGCAAGACGAACTTCTTCCGGGCCTGTCAAGCGAAGCCGCGGAAGTTTGTCCCAGTTGAGCACTAGCATGCTTCCACTGGCACCATACTCCTTGATAAGAACCTCGGCCTCCTGAGACCACGGATCGAATTCACAACCTGGCGGAGCTGAAACTTTCGCTGGAGTTTCAACCTCTTCACTGATCAAAGGAGCGCGATCCTTTGCCAGCTTCTCAACACGCTCCCTATGCAAGGCCATCCTGCTCTCCAGACCAAGCCGACGCTTCTTATGGTGCTTGACGGTCAAAGGCTGGCTGACCAAATCCATAGACAAAGCTCGCTGTTCTTCTTCCACGCCGTGAAACCTCTCTAGTGACCGTAGTAGCACCGGCTTAAAAGCTGGTTGACGGTAGGCCGATTCGAGCAGAGCCGAGAGACTGTTCCTAAGCGAGAGTTCATCCAAAGTCATGGATGGCGACAAAGCCTCGAGCTCCTCAGTGGCCACTGCCGGTATCTGTGTGTTCTTGCGACGTCCACCTTTCTTTGGAGAAGTTGACGCCTTTGCCTTTCGTTTATCCTTCGCTGCTAACTGTTTGTCCGAATCTACCAGTGCATCCTCCACGTATCTACACCTCCAGCAGTGCTGGAGATCCACCCTGTGGCCAAAAATCCCACTAGTTGCCGCTCTAAGTCCCTGGAGCTGCGAGCAAAAAAATGAGCTCTCCAAGACCCCCGGAATTGGTCCCCAGCATTGAGAGAACGATCCTCTGTGAAAGATGTGTGTGGCAGCCGCTGCGTAAGCATAAGCTACCAGGACCATTTTTTAGTCTCACCACATCTGGAAGGAAAAAAGAAAGAAAGAAAGAAATCCGGTGAGTCAATCGCTCTACAATCCATTCCAAGCACACACAGATCGATCTTATCGATCGCTCTATCCGCTCTATCCGCAAAATCGCGAGCTCGCGATGAGCGACTCGCGACCTAGCCATGCTCAAGCGCTGCGATTGGAATTCCATACTCCAATCCTGCCTAGATCTACCTGAGAGAGGATTGGCTGTCGAGATTGCGTACCTGAGCGGCGCCCGGATTCCGTCGCTGCGCCAAGAATTTGGCTCCACGCCGCGCCGCGCATTCAAACCAGCGCCATAGCCACGGGGCGGTGCGCTTAGCTTTGAGCATATTGGCGGCATTCCATGCGTTGGATTTCCCATCCAACGGCCCACATTTCGGGGAAAAACCCGCGGATTAGGGTTTAAACTCCAACCGATAAACCGACGTGTCACTTTTTTATCCAAGAACGCCCACGTGGCAAACTATCTTGATATTTGAATCGAGGAGCCCTAAAAAAATGGGGGGCTTTTAGCGCAAGGCGGCGATATGGATCGAGGTTTGTGATTCTTTCTTATAGATCTCACGCTTGGAGGGAGCGCATTGCTTGTAGCATTCGATTTGTGTTGGCTGGGGTGAGTTTAGATGATCGAGTGTTGTCTCTGTTCTTGGGGCGTCGATTTGGTATTTGATCTTTGTAAACCCTGGTACGCTGCTACTTGTGTTTCTCCCCTTTTCCTTCCATTGATCATTTCGCTTGTTACTTGTGGCAATGGTTCTAAATCTTCCTTGGGCGCAAGAATTTCTCGTCCCAAGCATTGCTCCTTTGCCTTGTTTATTTTTCTTCCACTCTTTCCATTGACAATTTTTGCTTGTTAACTTTCTTCGCTGCTCACTGGCATGTTTTACTTACTTGGTGCTCTCTCTTTTGCTTGGCCGTGTTTTTCTAAGAGTCGAGCTCATCAGCAAACAACGCTGGTCTGTTACTTTCGGCCATCGCTTTTTTCTTTTTCCCTTTTCTCACCCGTTTTTTCAACCCGGTGCCTCAAGCGTTACCTTGACCCGATGCATGCATGCTTGCTGGTGAGGAGTCAGGATTTCCTGGTAGATCTTTTTAAGCTTGCGGTCTCTTCTTTCTCTTTTTTCTTCTTCTCCGTCTTTCGTTGGGTAGTTTGGTGGCTGGTTTCTTTGAAACTTTGCAATAGAAAAGGTGTAATAGAATGGGAGAGGGAATGAACTTTGCATGATTTAAGAGAGCTTAAGATATGCTGAGCTCTGCATCTCCGCCAACCCCACCAGCTAGATTCAATTCGTAGTCTTGTTTGTTGAAGCTAGCTTCAAGCCTGTAGCGGAGTACGATGCAAGCCGATTCTTTGCATTGATCACGAAAGTGACCTGCTTAGTTTTTATTTTCAGCGTGTTTGTCTCCTGACAGAAAATACAAGCAGTGTCCAGGATCAAAAACTATTGTGCTCCGATGGATGATTGCATAGTTTTTTATTTCCGTCTTCTGGAGTTTCTTGCTTGACAACACCCTTACGTGATTTTCTTTTTTCGTCAGGTTCCGTAGGTTTGGAACTTGGATGTTTTGGAATCCGAGAGCTCGTACGCGATCAATCTAACGAGAGGTATGGTTAACAAAAACCTGAGTGACTTCAACTTTATTTCTTCCAGAGTTTTGAGCAGTTCCTCATGCAGTATCCACTTTCGTTTTAGAGTTTCAAGTAATCAAATCGTAACTCCATTGTTCGCCCCGTCCATAGTCGTCTGCACAGGCGTCCTGAGTCAGTGGTAGCAATCTCGGCATTGGATCAATAACCTCCTCCTGCTCACTCCATGTCGGCGAGTGTCCTGTGTCCAAAACATTGCCCAGTCGGGAAAAATGCTTATTTGAAAGAAAAAGAAAAAATTTCAAAAGCGAAACTCTCTCAACTTTTGTTTTTTTTGGTGCATTTCTCTTTCTCCTACCTAGAGCTAGAAAAAAAATCTGTGTCATGGTTGATGAGAGGTTTGCTGGGAGTTTTGACATGTACCTTTTGCAGTAATAACGGGGTAATAGTTTTGATGCATCAGGATTGCGGGAGGATCACTTTGTTGCGTGCTACTCGGTGTGGTCACGGGTTGTCCGATCATCATGGGAAGCCGCCTCTCCCGTTGCTGCTGCTGCTCCGTCAACATGGAGCTGCTGCTATCGTCCTCGTCTCTGGAGCAACTCGCTGGTACAGCCGCAGCCGACTCGAGCAAGTCGAGGCAAAGCCTGAGCTTGTTATGATCGGCAGTCACTCCCGTGAGAGCTCCCACCGCCAGTGCCTCAGACGCCAGGTTCTGGAGTATGTTGAGCGCCGTAGCACCGGTTGGAGTGGTGGAGTGTGGATCGGCGTGGTGGTCGAGAAGGACCGCTATCATCTCGGGGTCGGCCAGCTCTCCAGCAATGTGGAGCGGAGTTCTTCCGTCCGGACCTGGCATATTGACATTGGCTGCCCCCAGCTCTAGCAAATTCTTGACGACTTTGCGGCTGCAGTTTGCTACGGCATAGTGGATGGCCAGAGTTTTATCCAAGTCGAGGCCTTCTCCCATCACCATCAGCCTCACGAGCTCTACATCCGATGAGTCGAGTGCCTTCTGCATCCTCCTCGTCCGCTGGTCGTCCAAAGCATCGCTAGAATGCGCTTCGAAGCCGTATCCACACTTTTGCCTGATGGCTTCTACCTCGGCTACTACTTCTCCAGGCAAGTGCTTTCGTAAAACTTCCGAGGACAGACCTGACTTTGCTACTAGTTTGGAGCAGACTGACCAGAGATGGAGCAAGTCCTGCTTCCTCGCCGCTGCAAGTATCCGCATTACGTCTTCAATCGATGCTTTCTCAGCAATTCCGGCCAGCTCCCTCTACAGGTACACAGAAAAGTTCCTGTTAAGTTTCTCCTCTTTGGAGTAACTCTCTCTCTCTCTCTCTCTCTCTCTCTCTCTCTCTCTCTCGGTTTTTTTTCCTTTCCTTCTTCAGTGATCGAGTGCAAACCTGGACTAAGATGGAGAGCTGCTCGATGCTGAAGACTTGAGCAGCATGCAATGCCTCGAGAGCAAAATCCACCGCTGATCTGCAGTAGACGTGCCAGCAAGCGCCTTCTTTGCAACCGGTTGGATGCGGAGGGACCAGAGATAATTGGCCGCTGTATAGAAACTGGAGCATGAGCATGAAGACGTCGTATCCAACAATTCCCACAGGGATCGGTGGCCGTCCTGGTATGTCTTGTGAAGCTTCACTGCTGCAAAAGATCATCCTAAAGAATTGGCTTCTTGCTGCCAGGACGCACTTGTGAGCGTAGACGGGCCTGCCTTCGACTGTGAAAGTCACATCGCTGAATGCCTGCCCGTTGGCCAGAAGGTTGAGCAAATCACTGGAGAGCTGCTTCAGAGGCTCCTCCAGATTCATCCCTCCGGCCAAGTGAAGTAAGGACTTCTTCTTTCCTTTTACACTTTCAAGCCGCGATCATGGAAATGATGCAGATGGAGGAGCATGGGAGAAATAGGAGAAATGGAAGAAGCGCGGAGAATCTGGGAGCAAAGATGAGCAGAAAATCCTCCGGAGACTGCGAGGAGCCAGCTTCTCACCGTAACAGGAGAGGAGCTCTTGAAGAAGACGAGCAAGAGACCGGTATCTCCATGCCGACAACATCCAAACCCAGGTATTCTTCTCCTCGCTACTTCTCCAGCTTGGTGCGTGTTAGACGCTTCTGGTTCTCCCACATAGAGATCAGTGCAATTTTTTCGAGCGCTCACCTCTCAGTGAACAGGGCCTGGAAGCCGATACACATTGTCTTTTTTCTTCTTCCTGTTGTGTTCTGCCGTTCTGCAAGCTATAGATGTAGTATATATATATTCATGGATTTATATTTTTCTTCTTTCCTTTTTTCTTTTTTCTTTCCATCAGAGTTGACCCGGAGGAGTTCCTGTGCTCTTCGATGGCGCTTAGCTACTAAACGCGATCCCTCGGGAGTTTTAAAGTGAGGTCGGGTCGCTTTGACTCTTTTACTTGTTCTTTCTTTTGTGGTATTAACATGGCTGGCAGGCTGTAGCTAGCAAGCTAGAGACAAGGGAACCTACAGCAGAGAGTTGATGCAAGATAAGTTTCACTTTAAACAATTTTTGCTGTTTTTATTTTGTTTAGTTTGTTTTTCCTTTCGTTTTCAACTGGTTTGTGTTGCACCATGATTGGCAGGGGAAAAAAGAGCGTGTAGATCTGAGATGAGTTTGGTGAGAACCAAACCAAAACGGAACGAGCGCTCCTCGTTCTCGCTAATCTGCTCGGGTAAGTTGTAAGTGATCTTATGAGTGGTTACTCAGCAAGATTTTGGCTTTGGTCGCTCGGTCCCCTCCACTTCTAGCCTGCTACCTTTCTTCCAGAGGAAAAGTTAGAGCTTTCTTGGTTTCTATCCCTCCTAACTTTTCCTCTCTTTTGTTCTTTGCAACAGGAAGACAATCATAGGCTCGGCATTTCTAAATCCATCGCAAGGCGAGGAACGCTACGCTCCTTCTTGGATCCCTAGGAAAAAGCGCATCAAAGGTACGACTCGATCAAAACTCTCCTTTTCCGCGACAGACACTGTGAAGCAAAAAGAAGAACTTAGTAGTAGCAAGAACTAAGAGACGAAGAACAGGGTAGGTAGATAGGAATTGCCTCGTTGGTATATCTCTAGCTGTGGCTACATAGCACCATAGCGCTGGCAGCACTGGGACACAGGGAGAGGATTTCTGGAGAGTGTGACAGACAGTACAGACAGTGTACACACACTACTCAAGTCTGCTGCCGATAAGAAAGGATCGAGAAGTGTTGTCACAGCACAGTGGTCGTGGTGGTGGTGGTGGTGAAAGAGCAAAAGGTGGACGAGTAGCGGCACTAGCAATAGAATGGGCTGCAAGTTTTGCAGAGGAGGAGAGCGACCGTGCGTGCTCGCTCTGTAGACACAATAGAGACCGACAGCAGCAGGGACATATGGTGACACTTCCTCCTTTTTTTTTTACTGCATTTTACTGCTGAGCAAACAAGTAAACGACAAGCAGGCAGGGCAGACAAGTAGAATCCTCGGGGTTTAGTAAACTAAGAGTCTATGGATCGAGAAGGAAAGCCCGGGAATCAAAGCAGGAATCAAAGCAAGAAAAACGAGCCGAGTTTTCCAGATCTTTCGCGAAGAAGCTCAAGTGATCTTAAAGGAAAAGCTCGAGCTTGGAAAAACCAGGAAGAAAGAAGAAGAGAAAGGCATGGGCTGGAAGATCCTTCTTTGGGAGGCTAAAACTTCGTGGGATAGGTGTAGCGGTTCCACGTGCGGCTTTCTGACCGCGCTATTTTCTAATTAAATTCCACAGGTTGCTCACCTTCCATTATCAAATCCTGTTCGATCACAACAAAGAAATGTTACTTACGTAGGGTCTTCGCACTTTGATAGAAATCTCCTAGAACGAGTGTGGTTTCATTTGATCAATGTTACTTCGAAACTTATAAAGAAAACTACATTGGGTAATCGCAGTTGGTAGAAATCTCAGTGCTTTGATTGATCACACCCAAGAAATGTTACATATGAAGAAAATTACATTGGGCCATCCATCACACTCGATGGAATCGAAACTTATGAGGAAAACTACATTGGGTCATCAGACTTTTGACAGAAATCTTCAGTAGTTTGATCACAAAAAAGTGAAGTTACTTCTAAACTTATGAAGAAAATTAGATTGGCTCTTCGCACTTGATAGAAACCTCCTTGTGTCTCAGTGGTAGTGACAACAGAAACTCAAAAGCTCACCGGAAATCTCACGCTCTTGCGAAAAGCATCGTCATCGACACAGAGGAATAGAAACAAACCGGATGCCTCAGGACTAGAGAGCCTGTTTTCTACACCAAAGCTTCAGGTAATACGTGCAAAGCTAGTAAGCATCACCGGCACCCGGCTATGGTTTCCACTGCCTTTTGTTTGTCACTGAGAAAGCACAAAATGCAATGGAGGTATGCAAAGTGCAAAGAAATGACAGGCATCAATCTAGCACACATTGGTTTCTTCCAGGACTTGACGCTAAGGACAGTGCCAAAGAGCCAATTGCCCGAGTGTGCGCATCAACAAACACAAGCAAAGAAAAACGCAAGAAAACGAGAGAAAGAAAAAACCATACCCGATACGGGTTAACAAAGTTTTGATCTCGGGAAAAACATCGACTCGATCACAAACTCACAGGCCCAGCTTGGTCCTTCGCCAGTGCCTCCTCTTGGCATTGTAGCTACAAGAAAGATAAAACCAAAAGAAGATCAGGAAAATCCGATGACAACGAATACCGGATGGTGTTGTCGGTCCGCATCCTGATCCAGTGAGGGATTGGGCGATTCTGGCGCAGCTTCTTGCCCAGTTTCTGCTTGATCCGGAACGTCTTGTGCGACGGCTGCGCAAAATCACAAGCTTATCAATCCCTGAGCAATCAAACGCGAAGGAAATCATACCATGGCGGCAGGGGCAGCGCTCGCTCTCTCCCGAAAATGTGGGGCTCCGCCGCAATCAAACCCTAGCGCTAGAACCCTAACCCTAGCTAGCACTTTAAAGTAACGTGGCGAGTGACGTGGTAAAAACGTGGTGACATTTTTTGCCAACGCACATGCCACGTAGACTTTCAGCTGAAAACGGCCTGTACATATTACTTCACTGAAGAGAAAAAAAAACGAACGAAACGAGAAAAAGAGAGGGGAAAAAAAAAACGCAAGATCGATCGTCACGGCTGCTGTTGTTGCTGCTGCTGCTGCTGCTGCTGGTTGATCCCCACACTCGCCGCCTTCTTGCTGCTCACAAGGTAGCCATTCCTCGAGTGATGCAAGCCTTCGAGCGTCTTGGCCTCGAGCTCCGCGATCGACTTCTGGAGGAGCTGCTCCTTGCGCTGCTGCTCCAGCGTCGTCAATCCAATCTCGCCCTCCGAGCAAGCCTGCTTGTGATGCACCAGGACGCTGCTCGTTGTCGCCGATCGCTCCACTCCCCTGCTCGAGGCCTTGTCTCTCTCGCAAATCCCACCACCAATCCTCAGAGCCTGCCGCTGCTCCAGCGATCCCTGTTGCTGCCTCCCCGGCTCTACAGCTTCTCTACCACTAAACTCTCCCACCATCTCGGAGCTCGGCCTCTCCGAGCACGTCGCGTCCACGAATCTCTCCGAGCCGTCGAACAGCGTCTCGTATCTCAGCACGCCCGGCTCGCAAAGCCCATTCTCCTTCCTGCCCGTCGCGTCTTGTTGGCTGAGGAAGCTACACTCGGGCCACGTCCCCGCCGGCTTGAGCGTCCGTTCCAGCTCCGGAGATAGCGACGTTGCCTTGGCTATGTCCACCAAGTCGGCGAAGCAATCGTTGCTGCATGAAGCGGACGATGGACTCGACGGCGGCCTGTGGTGGTCTTCCACTGCTCTCTCCTGGTCGAAGAAGCAAAATCCTTCGTCGGGCTTGCACACGGCGCTCAAAGACGTTGATGGTGACGACGAAGCGGCTGTGCTTATCCTATAGGCTGTGGACGTCTCCCCAGCGTCGCACTGGAATGGAAGAGCTTCTTGAGCTGCAGTGTCCACCGCCTGCGAAGCCACCAGTTGCTGCAAGTCGAAGTCCGTGTCCAGCAGCCGGCTCAACGAGTCCATGTTTTGGTTGTGCGGGCTGGACTGAGGAGAGCTCAGGCTGCTACTGCGCTTGCACCGGCACCTATTCCTAATCTCCAAAAGAGCCGACTCGTGCTTCCTTTGCAGCTCCCTCAGCTCCTGCTCTTGTCGCATCGCTAGCAGCTTTAACTCCCGGGCAATGGACTCATCTTGCTCGGCCGAACTTGTTGTGACCGCGGCTACTGTTGTTGTTGCTGCTGCTGCTGCTAGTGCTATGTCGGAGCTACTTTCTGGACCGCTAACTGCATCCTCCGAGGACTCCACCACCATCTGCTGCTCTGGACACCCGCTGCTCTTGATGGTAACCAGCACCTCGTTGCAGCCAGCCCCGTCCGAGTCCACGTTTTGATGCTCCACAATCTTGAGAAGATTCGTTGGTGTCTGCTCGGTTTTCACGTCCAAGCAAAAGGTTCCCTGACAGGTTGCCACCGGAGAGCTGACTTCTCCTGTGAGATCCCAGTCATCGCCATCCTCGCGAATTTCCGAGGAACCACTTGAGAAGATGTGAGGTGCATCATACTGGTCGGATCCTTCCGGGTGATATGTGACCTCTTCAAATCTGCCGTGCATGGAGGACGAAGTGCCCTCCAGTCGAGGAGAATACGACAAGGGCCCTGTTCTCGGAGACCGTGATTTCACACTTGCTTGACCAGCCTCAACAGTCGGACTTTCGGTTCGTGTTTCGTCGTCCGAGGTCGCGTCTACTGCAGAAGGTGACTCAACTTCCTCCGGTACAGACACTTGAGCTACCGATGGACCTTCTTCTCTCGCTTGTGCTTGATCATCCACCTCTGTCACACCATTGTCCTCAAAAGAAGCCCCGGGTCGCCAGTCGGGGACCAAAGCCACGATTGCCGCATCAATCATTTCAGCGATGGTTGTGACATCCTGGTCTGAGAGGTCGAGTTCGGCAACCATTTCACTGGCGACACTCATAGCTGTGTCCCCTTCAATGGAAAACGGAAAGTGGATGTTTCGAACGTGACCTGTAAAGCGAAAAGTTAAGCTACAGTGCACATAAAAAGCTGAGACCCACCTTCCAAGTCTGCAATGCGAACTCTCAAAAATATCGTGTCGTCGTCTTTCTTCTTCCCTTTCACCCTGAAGTCTCTGCTTCGTTTTCCTTCTTCCCTGAAAGAAACTCCCTTCTGATAGCTTCCAAGGCCGCCTTGATCTGAATCCGTCTGGCTTTGCTCGGGGCTAGAAGCTCCAGAAGGAGCGTCGTCACCCTCTTTATTTTCATCGCTCGTTCGGGCGGCGTCACCCATGATTCCGTCCCTGGCCGGAGAAGCTTCGGTTCTCCTGCTGGTCGAATCAACGGACCCAGGTCTGCACGACGGCTCCTCTTTGATCGTTGAGAGACCTTCCATATCGTCTGCTCTTGATGTTGAGCGGGATATCGGTGGTACCAACTCAAGCGGTTCGCGGTCTTCACTCTGAAGAAACGGGTCCATGAGTAGCTCTCTTGCTGGGAGCCTTTTGGAGACAGTCGCCAGGCATTTCTCAATAAAAGCTCGGACTTCCAGATCCTTCACTCTGTCAAGTGCAGCTGGCTTCTTCCCCTGATGAAACAGCGGTCAAGTCAAATGTTAATTTAGTGCTAACACGAGGACTTACGGAGGTCACTTTCTTATATATCTGTGCTGCATTCGTACATTCGCTGTAGGGATACTCGAAAGTGACCATCTCCAACAAGCACATTCCAAACGAGTAAATGTCCACTAGCTCATTATATTCTTCTTCATACAGCTCAGGAGCCATAAACTCAGGTGTTCCTGTAACAAAAAACGCTGCTATTTAAAAGACCGTAACACCGGAGCTTACCAATGACACTGTGTGCTGCGTGCGCCTGTCGCAAGATAGCTGCAAGCCCAAGGTCTCCAATCTTCACTTCCCCCTGGTTCCCATTCACAAAGATATTGTCGCACTTTAAATCCCTGTGAATAATAGGAGGATTATGACTGTGAAGATAGAGCAAGCCGCGTAGTATTTGCTTTGCCCAATTCTTGACCGCTCTCATGTCGACATGCTTGTGCTTCTTGCGATACCTTCACACAAAAGACGATCACATGAGCTTCAAGAAAGAATTACTAGATATCAAAACATACTGTCGCAAAGTGCCAGACGTGAAAATCTCCGTGATGAAGTTGACATTCTTCGTCTTGGTATCAACCCACGAGTTGTAGAGCTTGATGATGTTCTTGTGCTTCAAGGATTTGAGAAGATGAACCTCGGAGTAGAGACGCTCCAAATCCTCGGGGCTTTGCAGCACATCTTCCACCTTAACTTGGTTCCACGCCACCTCAATCCCGTCAACTTCATCGAAAGCCCTGTATCTGCGGAAACAAAGACAATTAAACAGAAACAAAACCTCTCTAAGTACCAAGAAGAAGCAAAAGGTCTTTTTTGTTAAGCTAACTTACACAGTCTTAAACGCTCCCTTCCCAAGAATTTCATTATACTGCACACGCCAGACAAAAACCTTTAAAAAGCTACCAGAGAGATTTTAAGCGATCAAAGCTTACCCGACCATAGCGCCCTGTTGGATCACGCTCCACAAACTCGGCTTCCTCGTCCTCCCCTTCCTTGCCAGATTTTGATTCGTTGCGAGCTTCTTGCGGATGATCCTCTGGTTTCTTATCCGTCATCTCGTCTTGCTAGCAACTAACCCTAGGACACAAACCCTAGCACCCGGAAGAACCTGGAAGAAACGAGCCCGGATCAGCCAGATCGAATGCCGATGCGCGATCGGCAGCGCGATAATCCGCCGATCCAAGCACAAGGCCAGGGACCGGGCTACTCTCGTTCATCTCGCGAAATGGCGCGCATCCCGCCGGCGAAATCTTTGATCTTGATCTTCCCGCGGCGATGGAGAGGAGAAAGAGGGAAGAGGAGGAGGCGATCGCGAATTACGCGGCGGTGGATCTAGAGGTATCCAAGAGAATGCCGGGTCCGCCAAGCGCCGCTCCATGCTGCTGCTCCTCCTCGCCCAGACCTAAGCTGCGGCGTGAGTGCCATGAATCACGTCCACGTTTTTTGCCCCGGGAAGGGAATCGAACCCGTGACCCGGCTATGAAAAAGAGACAAAAGGCTAGCGGGTAATAAGTAACTTTATCTCTTTACCGGCTTTATCCCGGCAAGTTGACACTTTCTTCGCGATTTGCATGTTCTTCATGCTGGCTCGAGTATATCTATATCGAAAATGGAGAGATTTCTTTAGTTCCCGGGAGTGTTTAAAGTTACCTCTTTTCTCCACATTTTCTGGAAGATCTCGTCGTCAACAATCGCAGTGGCGGACTCGTAGCTCAGGCAGCGTTTCGAGAAAGCACTCAAGGCACGCTTATCTTTGGCGCTGGATTTCTACATAAGACAAAGAGAAATGTGTGTGTGAGAGAGAGAGAATTTGAGTGGTTAACCACTTACGAAAGACTTCTTCTTGCGTATGATCTCCGCAACGTAGTGTATCCACACGCTGTTATTCTTTGGGAAACTACAATCAAAACGCAATCACTTCGCTGTCGATCAGAATCGTTAAACACTTGCCTGCCTTCCCATTGTCCGCCTGTTATATCTTTCATTCTTCTATACGTGTCAGCCTGCAAAATAAAAAGAATCAAGAAATGAATAACAGTGAACTTCCTGTTGCCTACCTGGACGTCTCCCTTTGGTCCTTCAAACCACGACGGATCTGACAAGTCACAGAATACGACTTGCTTTCCTGGGACAAAAATGAAGAAATGAAAGTCATTGTCATTGTCAAGAAAGAAGACCGCATGACTGAAGGAACGTACCTGTGTCAATGCGGGATAAAGTAAAATCTATCAATGCCACTGATAACCCGTGCGTATTCACAAGAAAATGCCTGTTTTCTAATCTGAAGTCAAGCTGCTCGTGTTGATCCCTGGACAAGACAATGTTGCCCCTGCACTACAAAAATTAGACACAACTTAAGAGAATAAACTCCTCGTACCAGTGCAAGTCCCGATGCTCGAAACCATATGCCTGCTCCGCAACTGCAAGCGAGAGAACAACCTGCGACAGAGTTATTGCTTGTTTGCTTGAGAAGCGAAGCTCACATACCTGTAGTAATAGGCTTTTAACTTCCTCATAGTTGAGGAGCTCAAAGCTTTCCAAGTCCGTGCCTCCGTCAGCAAGGACAAAGACAACATAAAGCTGACACAGATGCCAATAGATTTAATATCCAAGCCTTGAAGTGCGACCAAACCTGTTCTTCCGGAAACGCCAATGGCTGATCGTTTTCAGAATTATGTTGTGTGTCCCACTTCTTCCACGCACGCACCAAGTTCTTATCGTATCTTCCCTTGCAAATTCGCGTCCTGTTGGAACATTAAGGATAAGAAAAAGCTCAAGTTCATCATGAAGATCCAGAACTCACGCTTTTGTTTCAACGAACGAGGTGCAATGATAAGGAGAGCTTTTCTTTCGAAGCCAGTTCAGAGTGTTTGACAACAGCACCTCGCTGTAGATTTCAGTGGAAGTCTGCTCATACTGTAGAGATCGGAAGCCATTCGTAACGAAAACAAATATTCACCTTTTGAGTTTCGCCATTGACTTTAAAACTCCCGTCCATGGGAACGACTTTGAAAACATTCCCATTGCCTTTGTAAGCCTCTCCAAACGTCCCTTCTCCTATCTTCACTATTGTTTTCAGATCACTTAGCACAGATAAAACGAGTTAGTCCGGACAAAAAATAACCGAAAGTACCCACCAAAACTCTGAAAATCCTTGTGAAAGGCTGACAATACTTTCCTGGTCCGACTCGTGTAGCAGGATGTCTATCATCGACATTGTGGGAAGCTCTGCAACTGGTTTCGAAATGCTTAAGCATTCCAGGTCCGATATAAGAGCGTCCATGGGCCTTGGTTTCAACACACCACGGACGGGAGGTGTTCTTAAGGCAGCGCTCAAAAGATCCTCTGGACTCGCAAAAATCTCCTCCGGAACAGCTTCCAAATGTCCATCCCTCGCAGGAAGAAAGCACGTACTGCCTTCGAAAATTGATCTCCGAGTAAAAGTTTTGGGAGAAGGACTCTCCTCCTGGAGCTCGAACGCATCCACTTCGGCAAAATGTGCTTGCTTCTCTCGAACAAAAGTGGCTGGAGGTTTCGAAGGAACCACCCTTCTCTGGGATCCATGAAAAAACTCAGGAACTCTCAAAACCTGGAAAAACCCAACGACTTACTTTCATCTGGGCCGAAAAACGTTGCAGCGCACAAGGTATCTTATGGTGCGCAAAATCCTTTTGAAAGACCACGCTTGTTCGTCTTGAAGAATCCAATCCACGAGTAAAGATAAAAGAAGAACACCGGAAAATCTCACCTGGAAGAAAGACAGCGATCGATCCAGCTCTTGGTATGCGTTGTCGTCCTCTTCCCCTCATCGGCGGCGCCTCCATCCCTGGCCTTGCCCCGCCGCTTAAAAACAGCAGCTGGCTTCTTCCTCTCCACTCCCGCGAAATCCCCATCTGGCCGATGGATCAAGATCACAAGAACACTAGCAGCGGGGAAAAGAACACACCTGGGAACAGCGCCTCTTCCGCCATGTCCAAGCTCTGCTTCTCCATTGCTAGGGCTCAAGCATTTCGAATATTGGGCGGGAAAGGGTTTAGGGCAATTAGGGCATACACGTGGACAGAAAATGGCATAAAGAGTATCGGGAATCTTTGCTGGATTAGTGTTCTTTGCGTGGGCTGTTTTCTAGGTGATGACAATAAAAAGGTCTTGGACGATGTTTCTCTGAGCTATTCTCCTCTAGAATTTGGGATCGTTCATGGGTCTTCCAAATTTCAATTTGCTATTGCTGATTATCAATGAGAATGTGTTGATCATATTTGCTAGTAAGTCTTCACTTGTGTTTTCCTTTTGATTAAATCTATGCGTTGCAGCTTTTAGTGCTGTGTGCTTGAAAGACTACACCAAAGCAGGAGTTTTAGTTTCTTTGTTCTTGCTTGGAAACTGGATCATAGCTTGGTCTGAGGCGAATAACAAAGATCATGTAAGAATTCCCAATCTCTTCATTTGATTTTACATACGCTTGCCCAACAGATCAACATCTCCAATGATCTAGAATCCGCATCATTTGTGAAAACCACAAGCTCGTCTCGTACCAAGATAGAATCTCATAACAACAAATCTGGCCAGACAGTCACAACAATGGTCACCGAAGAAACAAAGCTCTTCAAGCGATCACCGATTATAGACTTCTTTGCAAAATATCATACCCCAGGTTAGAAAACATTCTAAGAACATCACGAAATCATTGATATTAAAGAAAATCACTATTGTGCGTGCCTGTGCAGCCATGATCTTAGCTACAGCACTGGTCCCTCTCGTGCTGGACACGAGCAATAAAAAACACTGGCTTTACTCGTCGCTCGTCGTAAGCCCATGCGCTCTTGTGATCTCTAGCACAGTCACAACCTCTGTTGCTAAAGCCCGAGCTGCGCAATTGGGTCTTGTGATCCAGGGCGATGCTGGCTGCCTCACGGCTCTTGCAAGGCTCAAGATCCAGAAGGAGAAACTCCGGGAGGTATTGAGCAACAAGGGCGAGATTACTGTGACATGTGAGGATGGCGATGGCAGCAGCGAGCATGCGCGGCCAAGTCTCGAGCCCGACGAAGTTGCCATGCTCACATCGGCAGCTTGGATTGGGAGAGAGTATGTTGCGGCAGTCTCTTCTTGCAATCTCTTCTTGCTCGTCACAAAGATGCTCGTCACGGGGTTTGTGGTCGCTGGCTACATTCCAGCGCTTGGGGCAGTGGCCCTCATTGTAGATCTTGGAGCTTGCACGGCGGTGGCTTTGAGAGGATTTGTCACACTCTTGTTGGTCGAGGAGAAGGGAGCTTCTCGACGAGATCTGGAAGAGCGGGAACAAGGTGAATGGGATTTGATGACTCCGTTGCTTTAGAATTCTCCAAATTGAAAGCTGTACGATATGGTGATGAGAATAGTGTATATGCACATAGATGTGTTTACAAAATCTATATATATATATAAAGCGATAAGGCCCACTAGCTGTTGGATCCCAGGCCTGGGCCAAGGTCAGTAGCCATGGTTTTTGTAAAAAATTTATGGATGTTTGCACTGGCCAATCGGAAGTTGGCACAGTTTGGCTAATGATTGGCTGGTGCAAAAAAGAGAGAAATGTGACATATGTTACATTATCTCCCCTCGACTCAAGGCAATTCATGGTGGACCTCCCTTGCTTCAAGGTGCTTGCATTGCATTGGGCTATGCCATACCTTCAGATCTCCTGGAAAAACTTTTAACCCTACTCAATCTATTTTATGGCATTGCACACCATGATAACAAAGAGGAATGTAAATCCATTTGGCTTAGTGTCCTCCTCTAGCAGCTTACCAAAGATCTCCACTACCTTGGCTACATTGCCTTTGTGGCTATAGCTTGCTATCATTGTGTTCCACAAAACCATGTCCTTGGATATCATAGGAAATGTGCTGAGTAGTGGCTATAATTCCATACTTGCCATAAGCATTTGTGATTATAGTGTATATAATCATGGGATGAGATTTAATTATTATAGATCTTTGGAATCTTAAGGAATAAATGAGGACAAAATAACCATTAAATGCTCTTTCAACCTTTTTTCCAGTTGATTTAAAAGGGGAAAGAGATAAAATGCACTATATATAGAGCAAATTGATTAGTGATTATTTAAAATATAATATACCTTTGAGTAAAATATATTCCTACCCCTAAATTTGAAATCATACATTCATACATATGTCTTTCCTTTTGTGGTGCATCCATGAATAAAAATATTCACTGTGGGACTGCAGTACGAATGGATGAGTAATTGCCTTATATGGAATAACCAGTTTACATAATAGAAAGATTGGTAAATTCAATGTAGAAATAGCCATTGACATCTCTCAAGAGGGGGTTATAATTATGGGAACCTTAGGGAATAAATAGGGATAAAATAACTATTAATAACCTCCTTTTTAGTTTGTTTAAAAGGTGTTTATAGTGCATATGGTTTTTACCCTTTATCCTATGGTGATTAGGAACTCAAGTTTTAGGGCTTTGGGCCACTAAACGAAGGAATGGTGCCAAACTCCCAAGCATAGAGCCAAGGAACAATGGCATTAGAGCATGGAATGACTCCTAAGCATACAACCCAAGGAGCGAAGGAATAGGAGCATGAAACAACTTAAAACAATTCTAGAGCATTTAACATCTCAATGCCATGACCAATAGAGCCAAACGAAATCTAGTGCTATTTCAACATACCAATATCCTAACACGAGGACATGGGTACTCCACCAGCTAGCATGGTGTGGAGCTTGGGCTTAGACCCAAGCCTCCTTTAGTATTAGGAGTTAGTCTCTAGAACAAGCTTGAAACTTACTAATTATGGAATAGTGCTAGATTGTGAATTTGGATATGGGACAAATACCATTGTGTTCAAGACAATCTTTACATTCCGTAAATATGCCAAATAAGAAAATCTAGAAACTTTCCATAAATAGCAATTGGGATCAAAATGAGACTAACACAAAGGACATGATAGCGATGATACAAAGGCACATACTTTGGGAATGCAAAAGCACACAAGATGTGTGGAGAAGCACATGTTAGTTGCTGCAACAGCATTCCCAAAGACAAATGTGCCTCACGTATGAAGCAGCAATATGGGGCAAAGCTACCACAGGAATGTGAAATGGAACAGACTCTTGGAAATGGTCCTCAATAGGGGAAGTGGTACTGTGGTTTGACTAGCTCAACATGAAGAGAACAGACACAGAAGGAGTTCCCTTAGAGATAGTGGACCTATTGTGAGGAATTACGTTGTGGGAAGTGTGGAAAGCCTGGTGCAACAGAATTTTTAACGATACAGAAGGACCAAAGGTGGTGTTATCACAATTGTGGACTAGAATGATCATTGTAGTAGCAGCCCATGTCCTACAACTGGAAAAGAGAGGAGGGTGAAATGGTCTAGAAAAAGAGAGAAAGGAAGCACAGATTTGGCATTTCTTGTGGAAGCAAGGGGAAGCAGGTACTCGAGAGTGGATGTGGGCACCACCAGACGAATGGTTCCGAGTGACACATCTAGGCAGACCTTCGGGTTTTAGTTCACGAGCAACCCCCCTCTCTGTAGGTACTTCCATTGTAGGATCTCCTAAATAAGGCTTTTTGCTAGTTTTGTGCTTAATGAAACCATGCCTAGTTTTTTGGTGTTTTGCTAGAAAATAAAAGGCTCTGTTTAACAAAGGACATGATAGCAAGGGTGTTTGGTAGATACGGTAGACTATCATTCAACAATATTGAGAGACTAATCTCAATACACAAGAGTTCTTGTCATTAGCCAGTGAAAGACATAATGAAATGGGAACTTTTTACTGGGCTAAGTATGCTTAGCTAATAACACATAAGAATTCTGTCTTTATGCTTGTTCGGTCTAAGTACATTCAAAATGCCTAGTTAACTCCACTAGCATAAAAAGGACTGATAAAGGATCTAGCAATACCGACCTTTTGCCGTTTTGGCAGTAAGGAAAGAGTGTCTGTAAAGATTGATTGACAGGTAACTTTCGATACCCGAAGTCACATTTGTGACACTCTTCCCCTCTTAGGGAAGATTGATGTCCTCATCGATGCATACTCTAGTTTAGATCACTGCCAAGGAAACAACTCTAGAAAAAGTTCATGGTGATCACACTATGTGAGAAATGCACCAACTTAAATGATTTACGAGGCAACCTCTTTGTCTAACACGGATGTGTTACCAGCTCAGACACATTCTAGCTGTTGCTGACAAGGAACTGACCAATGGAGTTAGCCACCCTTGCTACTCTGGTTGTCACCCAACTTATAAAAGTGTGATACGCCCCTGCCTGCATGTGGTATAGAGAGAGAAGCCAAAGACCTCAACCCTCCTAAGCAAAGAAACCAAACTTGTCGATAAGGTTTATAAATAGGTAGTTAGAGTTCTTTACACGGTCACGCCTTTTTAACGGAATAAGAAACATCGACAGAAAGATGGATTATGTGACCAGTTGACTGTAGCTACCCCATGACAAGAGATTTCACCATGCATATGAAGGGCAGAAGCCAATTTACCTATACTGGCCTAAATTTAAACATCAATAGATGGACAATACCAAAGACATAGACAATGATATCTTAGAGACTTAAGTATCAGTGATTAAATCTTATATTAGAACACAAAAGTATTCCAAAGAAGTTATTATCTGATAAACTAGTAGTAGAGTATAGGGACCACCAAGATTAGCATGTTTGGAAAACATAGGATTCATCATCCAACAAATTTCAATAACAAGTATACCATCAATTACATTTGATTGTAAAACTTAACTACCAAAGATTGTAAATAGTATGCTAAACAACTTCCGAAAGACAACTCAAAAAGCACAAAGTATTATCAATTGGCAAGCAAAATGCTCACAAATGTATCACTCGAAGGAAATAACATCTAATCTATCAGAACCAACTATAGCAATAATCAACAGAACAGAATAAATGTTGCAAGACCAACAAATATAGCATTCATGCTAGCTATCATATTAGCCAATTTAAATACATCCCAGTCATAATATG